CGCAGTTCTTTTAGGACTCCACAATACGCTCAGAAACCTTTTGAAGGACGAAGTTGGTGGTCTTCATTTCTTCTTCAATCACGCAATTAATTTTTCGGCTATTTTTTCCATGATTTTGTTTAGATGGTCGTCCTTGTTGAAATACTGCGTTAACGCGTTCATTGTGATGTTGGATATTTCCAACATATCTTTTTCAATGTTGATGCGTTAAATAAATAAATTTTTTCGTAGATCACACTTTTTCACAAAATAATAACTACCAAACAAATAAATTAGTTATAATTGAGAGGCGGAACAAACTCGTCTATTCTGAACGAGACCTCATGCTCGAATAAATTGTTGATTTGTTTTCCCAATATAGAGAAAATAATGCAATTTAAATACCTTTTCGTCGTATGGAAGTAGGTGCACCATGCATTGCTTAGAAAAATATTACCTACAGTACAGAGGAATGGCGTCCGCGATACAGCCCCAATTTTTTCTTCATATTACAACCAAACTTGTGAGATCGCCTAAAGGAGAAATATCAGTCGCTTCTAGAGTACCTGAGTGTTCTATACCTATAGGGCCCACGTTTTTTAATTTACCCCAGGTGGACGTTTTGTTTGGCTTTGGAACCTGTAGTAATGATGGATCACCCTGTACTGAAATTTCAATTTCAAAGTGATGATATCCCATCCCAATTGACACAATCAACCCCTAATTCACAACAAAGTTTCAATTCAAAACTTAAGAAATTTAAACATAATTAAAGAGAGCAGCTCTCTTTAGTCTTTGCCAGATTGGATAGAACAAAAAAATTGACTCATCCGGAAAACAGATACTATCGACCTAGACGAACCTAACAAATCCCAATACTTTCTCTACCTTAAACTTTGGTAGTACCAAATTGAAATGGTACCTACCAGATATTACGATTCGATTACAAAAGGCACCAGTAGCGTGTCAGGGACGACATATTGCATGGAATTCAGAAAGAAAAATGTCTTGTTTATTTAGACGATATCAATTCGATAGGTTCAATCAATTAAATTTTGGGATTCAATTAAATCAATATTTAATCTAATTTGACCCTCGTCGTATCTTCTATGGTTTCGGACATCCCCATGAAAGACACCCTTACTATCTTAGACAGTGTATCTGGATACCGCACAGTAGTATTCAACGTTCCCTGTCTTCGTGAATGTGAGAATTTTGCTGTGGAGTTACGAAAATTAAATGTGCAGACCTTCTCTTACATTCCTGTTTATTGGATTCTAGGTAAATCATCTCTCCTGCCTCTACAGACCAGCAGATAGAGTATTAGACCTGGAGAATTCGCCCAGGAATTCCAGCCAAAGAAAGAACCTGCTAACGCAGAAGTCAACACTTTTAAATTTTTTGAAAGACATTAAAGTTATAATTATAGATAAGGGCAGCAGTTACGCAATGTTGGTGCTCGTAAAAATTCAGGAATTGGAGCACCACTCGTTAAACTGAAAGCGTTAATTAACTAAACCTGTACGATTCCATTCCACACGCCGTGTGTGTGGGCATTGTCTCCGTCAAAATACGTGACACACATACGTATCAAAATTCTGTTTTTTTTTTGCGGTCGGCGGAAAATTGTAAAATCTAGGATCGAGTCGCTTACGCTTTAAATTCCATTACAGAATACATGTGACAGTATCGTGTAGTAAACCCGTTGAACAATGCCATTAATCAAGAAGGTAAATGTTAACAATGTCCATACGCCCCATTACAATACCTGATACACCACACACGGCCGGTTTTAATTACGAAGGGTGGTCACAACACCTAGATAAACTTGCAATTTACTTCTTTTTACGAATTGCATCGGTTATTTGTCATTAATTAACAAACAATTTGCTATATGTAGCTGTTATTGATAAGATCTGATTTTACGGTATAAGCATGAAAATTGTTATAACCAGTTGTCAGTGTAAATGATGGTGTAAGTTGAGTGGAACGGCAATAAAATAGTGGATAAATGAACGCCCACCGTCACACACAGATAGCTGTCAAGCATCACTTCGTTGGTATTTACAAACGTAATGAGCCCGTTTAAGGATAACAGTCGACAGTAATAATGCTGAACGTGGGGAGGGACAGTAATGTTAATTAAATGATTCCCTCAAGACGAAGAAACTGTTAATTTTTAAAAACCGCAAACATGTCACAAAATATAACTTATGCCTCGATTAACACCCACCTTCATTTTAAAAGGCAGGGGGATGTACGGATTAACACGTAACATGTTTTCAACTAATTTAATTTAATATTAACAAGCGGTGCAAGTATAATATCAAAGTCGTTTGCCACCTACCTTGACTATCAAATTTAACATTAATTAATTAAAATGGAAGACCGAGGATTCGTTTTGGTTCAGAAGCTGATTCAAGCAAATTAAAGCTTCAAAACTTGCAATAATTCTATTCTATAAGTACATTTTTGTGTAAATTTTCAAATCTAACCATATATAAAAAATTCTATATGCCAAATTGAAATACATAATTAAAAACAATCGTCGTTTTCGACAAATTTCTATCCCATATTCAAATTTTAAATTATAGCTTATGCAAATTTAACGTTAATCCAATGCTAACTTTCTGTTACGAAAGTTTACTTTTACAATTTGTTTGTAAGATCGATCGCTCTATGTCAGTTTTGCTAAGAAAAAACTTTTGAAAAGTTTAAAGGAGTAGCGACATAAAACCGGGTCTTCTCCCCTACACCTTCGGGCTCGCATATAAAGAAACTATGGCCTGTATTAGGTGAGCCGTTTCGAATTTATTGAATCTCTCCAGCAAAAAAAGTTCGCACATGAATTCGTTTACAAGAAGCCGCTTCTTTTATTTATCTACCTGGGTTTTGGGTTGGTATAGCTTTTATTTCATAATCGCAATATTTTGAGTGGAAGGGCTCAAAAAATTTGTTATCGCAGCTAAATCAACGTGTTTAGTTTTCTATTTGGACGACCAAGGAAAGACGTTTCTTTTTGAAGAGTTTAAAATTAAATAAGGAATGAAAGGCCCTTGAATCTAACTAACAGTTAATTTCCCTGGAAACGAACTTATTGGCATGGAAGGGTGTAGCAGAAACTTCATCATTTCGTTAATTTCAATATTATTCAAGTTTAAAAATATACGTGGGTATTGCTTGAAATTGCAAACTTGTCTTGCAGTAGTCTTTGAATATAAAAATATATTCAAAGTCGTAGTGAAAGCAGGCGCTGGTTTAGTTTAGCAAAGGGAAATTCGCATTTGATATTCAAAGATCGAATTTTCTACAGGGTGTAAATGGAACTAGGGAACGCGATGTTTCTTGGAAGTTATTAGATATATAAAAAAATCTTTCAAATAAAATTTTTAGTGTTTCTAGTAAGCTACGTAAATCAGAAAAAAATATTTTAATTTTCGGAGATGTACCTATTTTTACTTTCTTTAAATGGTACCTACGCCCTGTCCCCTGTATATTTTTATACTATTTGGTAGGAAATGCTTTAAAAAAGTTTTATAAGTTATACCTTCTAAATTTAATAGAATTCGAAAATATTAAAATAGCTTTACTCGAAAATTAAAGCTGGCTATAAAAACAAAATTATTGAGTTATAAAACATTTTAAATTACAAATGTACATCAAATTATTGTCATACTGGTAACACTATAAAAATTGTTCAAAATTTTCACCGTTTTCTCGTATACAAAAATTGCGTCTTTTTAAAAAATGTTGATTTACAGTATTATTAATTTTATTATATAAGTTGTTCACAGCTTGTCTTATTCTATGTTTTAACTCTTCAAGTGTAGTAATGTGCGTAAAATAATTCTAATAATGTTTATTTAATCCTGTTTCGACATAAAAATGTATAGGACAAAGTCAAATAT